GACATCAAAAATCCTAACTATTGGTTGACGAAGGAACGGATCCAATTGATAAATCGTTTTTGGCTGAAGACAATGCGCATCTTGTAGGTCCGAATGAGCTCTGAATACTCTGAAAAGATTTCGTGCCACTAGCTTATTGTTGCCGGGATATAGCATTTTTGCGATATTTTTAATCATCAAGTTGTGGTCCCTCTCGGAAACACAAGGAAAAAGGAGTTTTGAATTTTGACTTGAAACATTGCACTGAGACATGTCACAATGATAATAGTTTATAGTAAATGTTTTAGATCGTTTGGCTGTTCCTATCCTAAGATAGAGCTATAATAACAGCATGTTTTTAGATTGCTCATATACATCGACGAATTCTATGTTCTTATTTCAGACTAGGACCAGCCAAAAAGATCTAAAACTTTCACAATAAACTATTCTCGTTGTGACCTGTCTCAGTTCAAAGTTTCAAGTCAAAAGTCAAAACCCCTTTTTCCCTTGTGTTTCCGAGAGGGACCACGACTTGATGATTAAAAATATCGTAAAAAATGCTATATCTCGGTAACAATAAACTAGTGGCACGAAATCTGTTCAGAGGATTCAGAGCTCATTCGGACCTACATGATGCACATTCTCCAGAATTGGAAAGAAAGTATAGAATGCTCAAACGCGATTGTAATGGGAGGATTAAGTGCTAAACCTATTTTTCCATTCGACTTAATTTTTCTCTGTTGGAGGCTCAGTTGACCGAAATCAAAATTCATCTAGTATCGTCCTGATAAAGCTAACTGGAACTAAGTTTTTTTTTTCTCGCTCGAGTATCAATGTTATCTGTCGTTAATTTATAAGCACCTGTGCGACCAATAATACCAATCTTCTCACCAGATTTTATATACAAATTAATATTTTTCAGTGCATATTCAGTATTAAATTGATGACGTAATGAATAATTTATAAATTCAATTTTTCCATGAGTTGGCCAATTTGTTGGAGTTTTATCAAAACGCTCATGACGACCACCATTATCTTCAGATGGTAAATGCGCATATTCATCGATGCGTTCACCACTTACCATCATTATATCGGCTTCACAAAACTGTCGAACAGCCCACTGAAACCATACTGATATATGCATTGCAGTCATTAAAGTAAGTGCAACCGATGAAGCATTTTCATAATCGTAGGCATGTAAAATTCGAATAGAAGTAACTAATAATATTAATGAACCAACAGCAAAAAGTACTGATGAAAACCAATGTGATGTGGCTTGCTCAGCGAGATATGCAGATGTATGTAAATCAATTCTATTAGCAATCGATTGAATAAAAGTATTTTCAGCTTTTAATGAACGAATTGTTGTTAATCCATTCAATGATGATGAAAATAGTGCATAAACAGGACTACGAGTTATAGTTTCAAGTTGTTTAAGTCGTCGAGAACATCTTCGATAAACATAAATCGTCCACCAGATAGGTGGTATCAATAGGAGAAATATAAGAAAAAGTGACAAATCAATTAAACAAATAATGAACAATGAACCAATTACAATTAAAATTGATTTTATGCCTTCCCACAAAACTCCTGGTAGTAATTCATCAATAACATATTGATCTTTACTTGCTCGATTAAGTATTCTTCCACTTGAATTTGTTTCAAAATATTTTATTGATGTGTACAAAAGTCCTTTTAACATTCGATTATGTAAACTATTTGAACCATTTAGAATGAGAAGAAAATAATAATTACTATGACATATATCAAGAATTATCGAAGTAATAATTAAACCAAAATAAATATAAACAGTCTCTGATGAAATTTCTTGATTTGTTTGAGATTGTTTGAAAGACAAACTCAACCAATAACTAGTACCATCACTAAATGCTTCCCCTAACAAAAGTAAAACAACAAGTAAACAAAAACCGATACAATTATAGGGTGGTGCAGTGAATAACTTATACCAAATGGGCCATCTAGCATACTCATCTGTTGAATTTTCAATAGTTATGCTAGATTCACTGTCATCTAACTTTATATTATCATCAATCAAGCTGGTTACTAATGATGCTTCATTTCGGTTTGTATTGTCTCCATTAACGATATTTATATTTAAATTACTTTGTTTATCAATATATCCATGTGAAAGACATATAATCTTATGTGATTCACTCAAATATTGAATTTGATGTGTAGCTAATAAACGAGTTTTATTTTTTAATAATCCAAATGGACCAAAACATCTTTCATATATTTGTTTAGCGACTTTGTGATCAACAGAAGATAATGGATCATCCAGTAAATAAATATCTGCATCAGTATATAATGCACGTGCTAACGATAATCTTGCTTTTTGTCCACCACTTAAATTAAATCCATTTTCTCCAATCATTATAAGATCATAATTTGGTCCAAATTGATTTAAATCAATATCAAGACAACAAGCATACATCACATCGTTATATCGTTGATGATTAAATGGTCGATTTAAAAGAATATTATTACGAAATGTATCTTCAAATATCCATGGTGACTGGGCACAATAAGATATTGAACTATCATCATTTATATTTAATTGACCATTGATAAGATTCATTTCACCAAGAATAGCAGCAAATAATGATGATTTACCGGATCCTACTGCTCCAAAAATTCCAACAAATGTACCTTGTTCAATAGTTAAATCAGATAATGTTAAACAAGGTGTGTCATTATGCCATGAGAAAGATGCATTAGATATAAAGATACTTCCTTTTTTTTGTTTATAATTTAAACCTGTAAATAATTGATAATGATTATTTTGTTCCATAGTCGAATTCATAAATACATCTATTCTTTTTGATGCAGCTTTAGCTATACTTAATTTTTCAATAGCTAATGGTATATGATACATTGAATTTAGTCTTAATATAGAAAATAATGAAAGTGTTGGAAATGTATTTTCGATACTCAATGGATAGCCTAAGAGCCAAGCACTACCAAATGTAAAAAATGCAAAAAGTGATCCAGAGAGATAAAATAAACTTGAATTAAATGCACGAAAATGGGATGCATATCGAATATTTTTAAATTCATTTTCTCGCATTTTAATTATACGATCTTCTAATGGTTTTTGCCAATTATAAAATTTAACAATATGGCATCCACGAATAAATTCACTAAATGATTGTAAACGTTTATCAGTACAAACAATAATTTTTTGATGATATTGACTAAATTTTTGACTGAAATATAATTGAATAAGAATAAATAAAGGAAATAAAGCATATCCACATAATGCTGGAATAGGTTTTATAATCCAACAAAGTAAACCAAATATAATTATTATTTCAATAATTCCTTCAAAAAGATACGAAAAATATTTGCACATTTCTTCAAATTTCGATGCATCATTAGCAATTAAATTAATAATTTGACCTGTATCGAATTCTTTCAATGACGTTGATTTAAGAGAAAGTGCACGTTTGTAAATAATCATTGTAAGTGCATTAGTCATTCGTAAACCTAGACGATCAGTAGAAAATAAATGTTGTCTATGTGTGAATGTTTTTATATTTACTGCAATAACTAATAAAATAGCATATAAATAACTAACAGTATTCGATCCATTTTCATTCATCATATTCAAAAGAATTTGACGAAAAAGTAATGGTTGAGCAATATTTGTTATTAAAATAGGAATCAAAAATAGACTAGAATATATATAATCTTTCCAATACTTTTTCCAAATGATATTCCATGTTGTTATTGATAACCATTTATAAGAATATAATTCATGTAATAATACTGATGCTTTATCAATATAAGGGATATTACTAAGATCATTTACTGTTAATTTTCGTTGATAAGCTGTAAATATAATTGGATTAATCCAACAACAACATAATCCATTTAAAAATCGGCTCCGAAATGATTCTGTCCATTGAAAACAAGATGATCGACGTTGATTATTTATATTAGTAGTATTTGATGCTTTCTTGCCATTAAGCACGACTTGATTTGCATTATCTTGTATTGTCATAGCTTTCATCATCACGGTCGAAGTCTGAAATGAAACATAACTTTTTTTCTTTGGTCTTTATTCAAGCGGAACGGCTGATGATAGTTATCGCTGTATGCATAGTTTTTTGAAAATTATTACAGTGATTTAAGATCAACGAAAAGAAAGTAAACACATAAAGGTTTTCTTTATAACAATACAGAAAATGGAATTATAAACAGTTTAATGTGTCACGTTTACATCAGTGAAATTTGTTAAAAATGAAATGTGACAAATTATACCAAAGTTTGTGTAAACCTCTCGTTTGGGGATAATATATGGTAGAACTGATATTTTCAATCTGCTTTAGTAATATGAGAGCTTACACAGTTTTGTGTCGTACTTTGTCGTTGAAAACGTGTATATAAATTTAATATAATAATATAATTTTAGATATTTTATTTCGAAAAGCAGACAAGATTTACAATCATCAGTTCTTAACATATTAATATATAAGATGATGATAATAATAATAATAACCAGGGAAAAAACATAAACCAACAACGACGCAAAACCGAACCAACGGGGCCACGAGAATCAGTGATAGGTGAAAGATTACGTAACAAATCATGAAATAATGGCCACGATGTAAACGATGCCATAAATGACTTTCCAGCGAAGTCAATGACCAAATGGATTTTCGGTCATCGAAATCACTCTCCTGGAAACCAAGTTGATTTCCAACACTCTAACAACTGCACAGCAACCAATTGTTTTTCTCCAAACAACACATTTTGCAACAATGGAAGGTCAGGTAGTAACTTAGATCACTTACAAGCCATCTTTCGTGATATGCATGCCGCCAAGCAAGTGACACCACGTCCCACGCAGCGTGGGTGCCGCGAAATGAGTCACATCACGTCTCTTTCAATGTGGGTATCCAGAAGGCTGTCATACCACATCCCTCTCAGTATGGGTGCCGAGAAGGCTGTCACACCACATACCTCTCAGTGTGGGTGCTGAGGTGGGAGTTACATCACGTCTCTCTTAATGTGGGTGCTGCGAAGGCAGTCAGAGGAAATCTCTCTCTCTCTGTGAGTGTCGGTATGTGACATGGACCATGTCTCTGTCCATATAGGTGCGACGAAAGGAGTAGCGCCACATGGATCGGGATATTCATTATGTGCATTATAGTCATAAAGTCCCTTACGCGTATTATGTGCGTTATACATCCGTTGAACATGTGTTTGCAGTAAAAGCCGTTTCCTGGAAACTAATAGAACGCATCGAATCCTAAACTAAATCTATTTCTGTTTCGATTGCTACTTTTTGACAGGGATAAACCCCTGAATTGAAAAATTTATAAGTTGGATGAGGATCATTGTGTGCTTTGTTTTGTTTGTGTTACAAGGTATATGTAGCGCGGAGAAGTTTTCGTTTGCTTTTTAAGTGTGAAAACATGGAAGTTGTTCTTTTTTAAATTTATATTCGAACTCGAATTAGGCAGCTACTCTATTTTCCTTTTTGGTAAACATTGTGCAAAAAAACGCATTTATTCTACTATTTGCCGAAACTTAGTATCGAAAGTTTATTGTATAAATAAATTAATAAAAAAAAAAACATACCAAACGTTAGAAATTGTGTTGAATTTTTGAAATAAAGTTCGTGGCTTGAAATCTACAATGAAAGTATAAAAAACAAGTGAATTCGTTCTTTTTGTTAGTTGCTGCTTGTATAAGAATTTTTAAAAGCATGCAAGCATGTGATGCTGTCTAACCAATGAAGAATTGAAAACAACATATTCGATCGTTGCTATTGATGAATAATACTTATGCAGCGTGCACTGAATAAATAAATAGTGCGGTCTAATCACATTCACATTACTTCAAAATCTCACGTAGAGACGATTTCTTTTTTTTTGAAATTTTACCAATCAATAACACGCAATGCAAACATGCGAATCATCGTCAAAGTATTGACGTGGATCAAATTTTATTTAGTAGTAGTTAATTTTGCCTTTTATGTTGAAACCATTAATAATCATTTCATGATAGAAAATGTGCAGTGAAATAATATATGACCTTTTTTATCTGATGATTAATTTTTTCTGCACGTGGACATTCTAAACAAAGTGGAGAATTCCATTTTTTATTTCAATACAATGATAACTTAAAAGCGAACATATTGCTTCGATTTAACAATTCAAAACACAAATGTTGGTGGAGGTTGTTTGTAGTGAAGTTTTGGTGTTCAGTTGGTAGAATGAAAAAAACGAATAGTTTTATTTTCAACGTTATTCAATAAAAAATTACATCAACATTAAAGAACATAATAAACTTAAAACAAAACTTTACAAGAGACTTGATATGTGAAATGCAATATAATATTTATACATTGTGTTCGATAATCGTTGTTCATTTACAAAAGAATCCTGGATCGATTGCGACCAAACTTGACACTCTGCTAACAACGTATGCAGAACTTTTCGTGATCAAACGGACATCTCTGGCAAAGTAGAATCATATCATGCAGTGCTCTTAGGAAATGAGATATGACTTAGAAAAGAAAAAAAGTGCACTAATAATAATCAATGAGATAACTTGAGAGCCCATATATTTTGAATATAGTACTCTAGGAAGCTCGTTCTTTATTTACGATTAAACTATTTAAAAGATGGCATTCGAAGAGTAAACTTCTGTTCATTTACAATTTAACTCATTCAGCTGATCTTCTAAATAGAACTGAAGCTCTATATTATGTAAGAAAATAACAAAGTTTTTAAAATGTCATATTTTAATGGAATTTTCCAATGTGTTCGTATACATGTTTATTGTTCATTATTACTTTTAATAAAAAAGAAACAATGAAAGAAATTTTTAACAAATTATTCCTAACTTTGACTTCAGAAAGTTTCCTCCATATTCGATAGTAAATCAATCTATCTGTTTCAATTTAAGCCGATCAACCTCAGATTGCACTTGGAAAAATAATCATACACATAGATACATTAATTTACAACTGACTACTCATTATGTTTCTACAAAATGCTCCAACAGATAGACTATCTTTAAATCCTGTTCGAATATAAAATGAGACTTGATTTTATTTCTTGTTCAAAACGAGTCAGTCACAGAAATTACAAGAAAAAAACGAAAGAATCGCCAATGACAGCATGTTCAATAAAAACTAATAATCATGTATAACATGAATAATTTCGTAAGACAGATGAAATTATCGATAAAATGCACTGGTAATTCAACCATTTCATTTTAACTTGATAACGGAGAAATGAGAACTATTGAGAAAATCAATCAGTCGAATTCAACGATGTTTGATTCCGAGGAATTCCTAATTAAAAATGGCATTAGACATGGAAACAAGCAATCCAGATGATTTTATTATTCTTCTTGGACATCCAATGATACATATTGAAGCTGTAACAGTTGTTCGTTGTACTTCTGATCAAATTGGTTTCTTACGTTATGTTCTTGGTCGTTTTAATCAAAATTTCATCTTAAGATATATGAAAATGTTTCGACAAACGAATCTCAACAAGCACCTGATGGTTGCGATAAAAAAAGATTATTCTTGTTTGTAGAGGACCATTAAAAAAAGCAATATTTTGTCCAAAGAAAAAAGATTGAGTGTGGGTGGATGTGGGTGTGTGTATGCGAGGTGAGAAAAATACCCTCCCCCACACCCACAGCCACAGCCACACACCCCACACCCACCCATCCACCCAATATCCAATCATAAATTGTTCAGGTTTTAAAATAGCATCAAATACTCGTCATTTATTGGATAAAAGTTCTAACATATTTTCGATTATATCTAACAATGTCTCTACTAATACTACTGTCTGTCCAATAAAAAGATGGCCGTGGGTATTTTTGTAATAACTTTCGCTAGGAACAAGATAGAGACCTGGGGTTTTCACCGTTCGACAGAGGACAGAGAGGGACATCGAGACATGTGATTTTCATTGGTCAATATATCGACTAATCAGATGAATTTCTTGATAGACATTATTAGGACAAGATTTTAAAGGTGAATTTCTCATGTGATTTTGACTTGTAATATCACCATTCGATAGCAAAAATTGTTCTCTGTTGATCTACGTAAGGTCGACTTTTCTACCTTGTTCCGTTCAGGAGATATAAGGGTTTTCCCGAACCTCCCGTTTTTGGCCACCGGTCCTCTGATCGCTGCAAAATATATCTATGGAGGGGTAATCGATCATGCTGAGTCGAGTGGTGATATTTGTTTTTCGTTTCAAAGCGATCCAACACTTCTATAGCGAGTTTT